TAAATTGGCGTCGGAGGTTGACTCCATAAATCCTAGCATGAAAAACAGGATTTTTCTTGAGCTGCAGTACGAGGTAACTAAGTAGCTAATAGGTTGGTGTAAATCCTTCATCAACTGAATAGGCCACATACTTTCTTGAGCTGCAACTGCTGCTGCCCTATGTTCTGCTTCTATTGTTGACAGCGACATAGTTGGTTGCCTTTTGCTGCACCAAGAAATTGCTCCAGCTCCGACCTTAAACACATAGCCATTAGGTGAATGACGGGTATCATGATCCCCTGCATAGTCAGAGTCACAATATCCGACCAATTTGCATTCTTTACCTTTCTTTTACAAAAGACCATAATCAAGTGTACTTTTCACATATCTTAGTATTCGCCGAACAACCTCCATATGGTGCTTCTTTGGATTGTGCATGTAGCGACTCAACACACCAATTGCAAAAGAAATATTCAGGTCGAGTCTTAGTTAAATAAATCAGACTACCTACCAATTGTCGATACATCGTCACATCTCCTAAGTCTTTTCCTTCATGCGCACACATTTTAGCATTTGGCTCCAATGGTGTTGATATTGGTTTGCAATTAAAAATTCCAAACTTCTTCAACAGATCTTCAGAATATTTTTTCTGATGCAAACAAATTCCTTCTCCATTACAATCAACCTCCAAGCCAAGAAAATGGTTGAGTTGTCCAAGTTCCTTCATCTGGAAGCGAACTGACAAATTCTTCTTTGTTAGAAGAATTTCTTCTTCACAATCTCTTGTTAGGATTAGATCATCCACATATACTAACAAAATAACTAGTTTCCTTCCAACAACTTTCACAAACAGTCTGGAATCTGATGATGCTACAGAATAACAACTATGAGTAAGAAATTCAGAAATCTTACCATACCATGCCCTTGGCGCTTGCTTTAACCCATATAGTGCTTTTCGAAGCTTAAATACATACTCGGGATGATCTTGACTCAGAAAGCCCATTGGTTGACACATGTAAATCTCCCGATCCAACTTTCCGTGCAAAAAGGCATTATTTACGTCCATCTGTCATAGGTTCCAATTTTTACTAGAAATAGGTTTGACATCTCTTGGCTTTACCACGAGCTCCCAAGTTTGATTCAGTTCTAGTGCAACAATTTCCTCCTCCATAGCTTTAATCCACTTCGGATTTTGAAATGCTTCCTCAAAATTCTTTGGTTCTTTTTCATTTTCTTATTCTACTATGGCAGCATTGGCGTACTTTGGATTAAGCTTTCTGATCCTTGATGATCTTCTAAGAGACGGGGGTATGTTTGCTCCACTTAGCTCATCTTCTTCACTGGCTTGTTGGTACACACCTGTTTGCCAAGGATTTTGAGCCACGCCTTCTTCAGCAGTATCTTCATTAGCTTCATCTTCAGCTTCATCTAGACTCAATTGGATATGAGATGAGTCCATAACATCTTTGAGAACATTTGAATCTGGCCGCATCTCTTTATTTGAAGACCACCATGAAAAAGCTTCTCAAATATCACATTCTGAGAAGTGTAGCACTTTCCCGTGCTTGGGTCACAACAACACCACCCTTTTTGTTGACTGTCATAGCCTACAAAGATACACCTAACAACCCTTTTTGTCCGTCTTTCTACGTAAATGATTAGGTATAAATACATAACATACACATCTGAAAACATGAAAATAGCTAACTGAAGGTTTCATATTCCATAACTTCTCAAAAGATGAAAGAAAACTTAACCTTTGTTGAGGAAGTCTATTGATCACAAAAACTGTAGTTTTCATAGCTTCCGCCCAAAATTGTCCCGGAATATTTGTCGCGTGAAGCAAGCTCCGAAAATTTTTTGCTGGGTGTCTATTCTTTCTTTCTGCTATGCCATTTTGTTGTGGCATATTTGGACATGTGAGCTGACGACGTATTTGATACTTTCGAAGGAATTCAGAGAATTCATATGAGGTGTATTCCCCGCCATTGTCAATTCGCATGCAAATAATTTTCTTGCCAACTTCTGCTTCAACAACCTTTTTGAATGCTTAGAATTTTTGAAAATGTATCAGACTTTTCCTTTAAAAAATAAATCCACACATACTTGAAAAAATCATCAATGGAGGTTAACATATATTTCATCCCACCAACAGAAAGTTGCTTGACATGTCCAAATACATCAGAGTGAATTAACTCTAATGGCTCCTTGGCTTTATATTTTGACTCCTCATACGACAACTGATGTGCTTTACCATACTGACAACCCGTACATATTACATTTGTCCTTATAGAAAGATTTGGAAGACCCTTCAACATTAACTTTTCCATCATGACACTAAGTTTGGAGTAGCTAACGTGACTCAATCGCATGTGCCATAAGTCTGTAGTTTCATTCTTCCTTGTCCTATCTATATATGTGGTTTCTGCCGACATTACATAGACGGAACTCAGTCTTTGTCCCTTCATTATTGGCTATTCTTTAATCTCAAGATCATGATATATTCTTACATCTTGCGGACCAAATAAAATAAAATGACCCAGAGATGTTAATTGTGCTATTGAAAGAAGATTTTTCTTCATACCTGGGACATGATAAACATTTTGAAGCAACATCAGATCAGCACTACTATTTGGAGTCACTACAACCTTGCCGATATGAGCTATCAATAATTTTGTTTCGTCGGCTGTCACTACCGCACGACTTCCCTTGTACTTGATTAGATTTTGCAACTTCTCTTTGTCATCAATCATATGACAGGTCCAAATACATCAGAGTGAATTAACTCAAATGGTTCCTTGGCTTTATATTTTGACTCTTCATACGATAACTGATGTGCTTTACCATACTGACAGCCCGCACATATTACATATGTCCTTACATAAATTTTTGAAAGACCCTTCAACATTGACTTTTCCATCATGACACTAAGTTTAGAGTAGCTAACTGACTCAATCGCATGTTCCATAAGTCTGCAATTTCATTCTTCATTGTTTTGTCTATATATACGATTTCTGCCGACATTATATAGATGGAATTCAGTCTTTGTCCCTTCATTATTGGCTCTTCTTTAATCTCAAAATCATGATATATACCTCCTTGCCCTAGCCTTACGTTACCACAGCCGTCCGCGATGGAATTAATGTAGCAAATATGAGGTAACCTTAATAGGTGGAGGCATGACCAATTTATAGAGGTTATGACTTAATCTGGTACGTCCATCAAGTAACCAATGTACATGCAAAATCTATTCTTCATTAAATATTATTTATGGTATTACTTGGATCATAAGTAAACTTGGGCCACACAAAAAGAGAAAAGTACTGAAGGAACTCTAGAGAGCACCAAACTGAAAGTTGCCATTCAAGTTTAGGAGGACACATAAAATAGGGCCATGTTAGACACTCTACTAGTCATATTTATGAGACTAACTCAAGTCTAGTAGTATCTACTTCCTTCATCAAAAGGGAAATTTTCAGCAAATAAGGATGACAAGACAATTTTCTTTAACAATAGTCCAATATCAAAAATGAGAAAGAGTTCCCCACCAGCAAATTGCATGCTATTGTGTCACGACCCAAAATATACCCTAGGCGTAAACTAGGTTTACTTGCTAGGAATCCTAAACTAGGTTCCTTACTAGGAATCTTGTTCAATAAATATACAACGGTTTTAAGAGGATGCATCCACAATGATTTGGGTAATGAGAAATTACTCATCATACTTTTAACCATATTCATAAGTGTTCGATTACGCCTTTCTGCAACACCATTTTGTTGAGGTGTTCCTGACATAGTATAATGTGCACATATGTCATGCTTTTGAGGAATTTTGCAAATGGACCTGGACATTGTCCTGATTCGTTATTTTTTCCATAATATTCATCATCTCTATCTGACCGAATGATTTTTACTTTCCTATCTAATTGTCTTTCAACCTCATTAACGTACACTTTGAGGGCGTCCGGTGCTTGAGAGTTCTCTTTCAACAAATAGATAAATCCATAACGTGAAAAATCATCGATAAAGGTAATAAAATATTTTTTTCTCCACCAAAAGATGGAACATCAAAGGGTCCGTAAATATCAGTGTGTAAATTTCAAGAAGCTGAGTACTCCTCGTGGCACCTTCCTTGGTATGTTTGGTCTGCTTTCCTTTAATGCAATCCAAACATACATCAAGATCAACAAAATTCAGATTTAGAAAAATCTCATTTTTTACTAATCTGTTTAATCTTTCTTTTGGATACATGACCCAAACGTCTATGTCACAATTTAACATAACTTTCAATTAGTGAATTACGTTCAATTCCAACATTTTGATGAATAGTAAGAAGGGATTCAGAAAAATTATTATTGAATTTCAATCTATATAAATCATCAATAAGAACACCAGAACCATAAAAAATAGTATTCTTATATAAATTGAAACATTCATGTCCAAACTTAAAATCAAATCCAGAAACATCAAGTCTTGAAAGAGAAATCAAATTCCTAGAAACTGAAGGAACATAAAGAGTCTTTAATAGATCAAAGTGATGTACAGTCTCCAAGATCAATTGATAAGTCCATATGACTTCAATTTTATCCTTCATGCAATTTTCCATGAACAAGAAATCCTTATTTGGATTTGTAGTTTGGATCGTAATAAATTCCTGCAACATAATGGATACATGAGTAGTTGCACCAGAATCAAGCTACCAAGTATTATTAGGAACTTCTACTAAATTTGATTCGAAACATACAAAAGCACTAAATGTATCTTTCTTTCTAACCAAGCTTTACGTTTCTGGCAATCTTTCTGATAGTGTCCTTCTTTTCTACAAAAACAAGACACATCAACCCTGAGTTCCTTATGAGCATCTTGTGGAACTTTAGCAGGTGCTTTCTTTTTCATAAAATTGTTGGCCTTCACTTTAAGTCTTTTACCAGCTCCTTGACCCGTGAGGTTAGTAGAATGACCTCTTTGTTTCTTAAGTCTTAACTCTTCTTTAATAAGCATACTGTACAATTCACTAAAATCTCACTTATCCTTAATAGTGTTATGCTTAATTTGGAATGGTCCATACTCAAGAGTCAATAAGTTCAGAATAAACTGAACCAAGAAGGTGTCATTCACTTTCATTCCCAAGGTCCAAAGTCTTGCTGCAATGTTGGTCATCTCGATGATATAATTTTGCATACTACGCGATCCATAAAACTTCATGGTCGTGAGTTCATCCATTAGTGTACCATTGAGAGACTTATCAATAGAACGAAAATGTTCTTCCACAAACTTCAGGTATTCCCTGGAACTTTCTGCTTGTGGAATAGTACTCTTAATGTTGTTAGCAACAATCATTCGCATGAACATAAATCTCAATTTGTTGGAGAGCTCCCATGATTTATGGAAAGACTTCTTATCCTCATTGCTCTTATCAGTAATGGTAGTAGGTTTGTCATTCAACAGAGCCAAGTCAAGATCCATCACACCTAAGTGGAACAGGACTTGTTCATGCCATTCAGAGAAGCTCAATCAAGTGAACACAGTAACAGATGAAGCATGCGAATGAAGATGAATAACTTCAAAATAGATATACATGCTCACAAATCAGAAAATAATGTGAATTCAGTAAAGCGATTAAAATATATTGTAATTCTCCTTTGGGAGATACTACGACACATTATCATAATTTAAATGTCATTTTTTAATCTTTAATATAGGTAATTGAATATTTTTAATCAAACATATATGCCATCTTTGGATATACAACATATGTTTGATTGAAAATATTCATTTACCACATAATGTTTACTATTTGTAGAATGATTGATTCACCTTTGGGTAAATTCTTAAGTTCTAGCAATAGTGAAAATCAATTTATCTATTTATTTTCAATATAGGCATTTTGTTAACTTGCATAAATAAATAACAATTTTATGAATGCATATTTTTCTTAACCATACTAGTTTGACCACTTTGATGACTAACAAACTATACAAATACTAATGTACACATAATATCATAAAATTTTGTGCATGTGAATAATTTTATACATTTTAGTTTGGCCACTTTGGTGAATAACAAACTATAGAAACATAAGCATCAAGTGATCATAAAATTTCTCTAGTTTGGCCACATTGGTGAGTAACAAACTATATAAATACAAATGCACACATAATATCATAAAATTTTATGCATGGGCATAATTTTATACATTTTAGTTTGGCCACTTTGGTGACTAAAAAACTATAGAAACATAATACATGCATCAAGTGATCATAAATATTATGTGTAGATGTTAATTTCTCTAGTTTGGCCACTTTGGTGACTAACAAACTATATTGCACTAAGTACACATATTATTTATTGCTTAGTATAACGACCACCACAATCTAAAACAAAACATAATTATTACATTATGGTAAGATTAAAATTTTCAGAATTTGTGCAATCTAAAACATAACATAATTAATTATTTATTTAGGGGTGGTGGGCAGTGACTACTCTTTATTACTTTACCAAGGCTGATGCGGTTATATAATTTATGAATATTATCCGTTCAAACAATCTAGGCTTGGCTGCCACATGTAAGATTTAAATACTTTAATACACATCAGGATCTTGAATACGATAATCTTACATAGAGATCGTTAGGGGCACATACCTGACCCGAAGACATCATCACAGAGAAAAGCGAAAGTGTTAGTCGTAAATTGGTTTCTACCTCCTTGCCCTAGCCTTACGTTACCACAGCCGCCAGCGATGGAATTAATGTAGTTAATACGTGGTAACCCTAATGGGCGGAGGGAGGACCAATTTATAGAGTTTATGACTTAATCTGGTACGTCCATCAAGTAACCAATGTACGGACGAGATCTATTCTTCATTAAACATTATTTATGATATTATTTGGGTCGCAAGTAAACTTGGGCCATAAGTAAGAATTATTTCTACACACAAAAAAAGGAAAGTACTGAAGGAACTCTAGGGAACACCAAACTGAAAGTTGCCATTCAAGTTTAGGAGGACACATAAAACATGGCCATGCTAGACACTCCACTAGTCATATATGAGACTAACTTAAGTCTAGTAGTATCTACTTCCTTCATCAAAAGGGAAATTTTTAGCAAATAAGGATGACAAGATAATTTTCGTTAACAATAGTCCAATATCAAAAATGAGAAAGAGTTCCCCACCAGTAAATTACATGCTATTGTGTCATGACCCAAAGTATACCCTAGGCGTAACATGGCGTATATGACCCCAAGATTCCCTACACAAACCACTTAGCATACATCACACAAAATAGTAGAAATAAAGATTTCAAAAGAAATAGACTTTTCTCATAAAAGAGTTTGACAAAGCGGAAGTGTAATATAGTCTTAACAAGCCATCTAAAACATCAAAAGAAGTGGTTGAGACGTAACCCATACATCACATACATCATTCGAAAATTAGAAAGACATAAAAATAAGTAAAGTGTATTGGTCCTCGGAACATGATGACTCATCAACTCTCAAATCTGATAGAATGATCAACTAGTCACGAGCGTGAAAGGTAGGAGCATCAGATCCTACATTATTGAGACAATGTAGGCACAAGTATGCATTAGTACAAAGAATGTACTAGTATGATGCAATATGTATAAATAGACATGGTGGCTTGAATAGCTTAAAACATGTAATGCATGACCAATATTGGAACATTTAAAAGCTTAAGAAAGCAACAACATGTAAATCATAAGGTATGGTCAATGCATTTGAAATAAGAGAGATAAAAAAGCTTTGAAGAAAATGTAATCATTTTTGTGGGATATTAGCTTTAACCGACAATATAACCATGAGGGCTATATCATGGAATCGGGTATATCCCTCATATCGAAAGAAGGGGATTCTACTTGCCAAGGTAGAGTCCGTACACATCTATCTTTTGCTAAAGTGGATCCACTAGCTAAGTCATTTAAGATAATTTTACATGGGCACGTAGTTTAAGACTAGAGGTTGCTACTAGTGGCTACCCTATTTGAGTCTCCATCTCAAATCCCTTTCGGTGCTAAGTAAAAATCCCAACGAAATAGATAAAACCAAACTATCATTATAACATAGGAAATGCAATGATCAATACCATTTCACATCTTGAAGATCAAAACATAGAATAGCTCCTTAAATTACAATTCAAGTATAGGTGAGAAAACTTTTCACCAATGTGAATCCATTTATGAGAAATACCTTTTACAATCATGATCATATTTGTATGTGACTAAACCTTTCACAACAACATTTATACTTTCATTTAAAAAGAACAATATCATCATAAATATCATTTTCATAAAACATGTATAACCTTCCAAACTTCATAGTTTATAGGTTCATGGGTTCTTCATAGGTTCATAGTCAAAAATCATGAATCATGCATGATTCAATATAATTTCAACTAAATATCATTTATTAACATTAAATGATGCATTACAAAACTTAATCAACAATAAAAATCATAATTGGATGAAACCATGTAGAATTAGAAAGCATCCTAATTTGATCAATTGAATTTAAGATTGACGAATTGAAAACCTTGCGACCCCATGGAGGAATGGACTCCATGAGTGAATATCCACATACCTTTCTACTCAAAGCCTAAGATGAATGGTGAATTGATGACCTTGGAGTGAACCCTAGTTTCTTCTTCTTTTTTAGGTTGAGAGAGAATTTTGGAGAGTGATTTTAGTTAAGTTTTGGGGGAAATAGGAGAATAAGTTTAAAGTGGATATATTAGGACTTAAAATATTTATATAGGGATTAGGTTTGAAGCCAAAATGCAACACCCCAGAAATTAGTAGGCTAAAACTAGAGTTAAACGTTAGGGTTAGAGCCAAGGAAGTGGGCTCCAAGGGAGAGGACTAGGGTAGTCCACTTTCCCCTAGACACTGCCTTAGTGACCACGACCACCACCACGGCTCATGATTTGGTTCGTGGTGGGCTAGGCAGTGTGCTTGCCAAGCTGCCCAAAGTGAGACCCTTCCCCACGAGCCACTTGACGGCTCGTGAAGGCCACCAAGGACCGTGGGAGTGGTCGTGGTCTTCACTTAGCCTCAAGGGGGAAAAGTCATGAATACCTAGCTAGTGTCTCAAGGTACACAGAGGGGACCACGGCTCGTGGGGCCTCTCGTGGTCCCTGGGCAAGTCGGTTAAATGAAGGGTTATTTTGGGAATTTCCTTTTTAAATGGGTATTAAGTGAGGTCATTTTGCCTTAGTTTTATACACTTATATAAGTCATTTTAAGTCAAAATACACCAATTAACCCCATTATTTCCAAAACCCCAAATCAAATCCCAAAGTTCATCTCCTCTCCAAAAATTCTCTAGAAAACTCAAGGAAGAAGAAGAAAAGGGTCAAGCTAGGTCAAGTAAAGTCTCCATTGTTTCAAGATTGGTATACTTTCTAATCAAGGTATGATGAGTTATTCATTCATGGACTCCTTTCATCCATGAAGCCCCCATGTTTCCCCCAATTGTGAAGATGAACCCCAATTCTAATTAAGGTTTCTTCCTATATTGTGGGTATTGTTGTATGTTGATCCAATTGAGTGGATAATGGTTGTTTATGATGTAATTACATGTTTTTAGTATGATTATACATGTATTATTTATTAATCTAAGATTTTAGGGTGAAATTGATATAGTTTGGTTGTATGCATGAAAGGGGAAATTGAGGGCTTAGATGTGACCTTCTAAGATTGATGAATTACTTTATGAATTGCTTAAAAGTAAAGCTTATAGATATGAATTGAAAGTGATTAGGGATTGTATGATGAATCATGATGTGTGGTGATTGAAATTGAGTTTATATGATGATATGTGATTAAAATTGCTTAAGAATGAAACATGTGGTAAAATTGTCTTGAGAATTAGGCATATATGATAACCATGTGACGTATTTTTTGAGAGTAAGACTTGTAGTATGAATGTGATTTCTAGGGTCTTGAGGTTAAAAGCTAATATGAATGAACTAGGAATGTTAAGGCTTCAAGAGTGAAGCTATTACGTATGTTGGCTTGTATATGGTATTATTGTGGAAGGACTTTGCTCACATGACCTATATTGAGAGTATATGGGATTATGCATGTAGTGACTTGATTACTTGAATTATGATTATATCCATGTCTAATGTAGTCATTCTAGATGTGTTGGTTTGATATGAGCTTTGACCCTTGAAAGGGCAATATATGATATTATGCATGTTTTATGATGGTTATGTATATTCTTTAAGATCACTTTGAGAGTAAAGTGATTATGACTATGATGTAATTGTGGTGTTGATGAAAGACTATTCTCACATACACACTTATGCATGACTATGAATGAAGTGTCCATGATTATGATGATGTAGATGTGTTAATTGAAAGGCTATTCTCATGAACACATAATGAACATGATGTGAAAGGTTTACTTACAAAATGATGATTCTAACGTTGAAAGGCTTTCTCG